AAATTTAAATGATATTACAAAAACATTAGAAGATATGGAGAGTTTAGATATGGAATTATTTAATGATTCATTTAAAAAATTAAAATCTACAAATGCTCTTAAAGATTCTAATATACAATCTGATGGAGAAATAAAAAAAAAAGTTATATTTAAAGGTGCTTTACACACTTAAAATATAAACAACATAAACTGGTGATTTATTTTTAATAATAATTTGTTATTAAAGAATTTAAAAAATATTTTTGGATTTAAAATTTTTTGTATTTATTTTTTTATAATTTTATAAAAAATATATTTCTATATAGATACAATATTTATTAATTAAATTTTTATTTATATTATAATAATTAAATAATTATAATAATAAATTAAATAATTACATTTTAATCAATTATTTAAATTATTATTTTTTAAATTATAATTTTTATAATTATTTGAGAATTTTCTTAATATATAGATTCTAATGAAGATGATTTATTAACTGGATTATTATCTGATGAAGAAATTTCTGCAAAAGAAAGTAAGAGTTTATTTGCATCTAGTAGCAAAAGCAGTTTGATGGAAGATATTTTCAAAATCAAAAATCCAATTACATCTACAACGAGTATTAAATCAAATAATGGATTAGAATTGCATTTAGAGCAAGAAGAAACTAATCAATTATTTTCACAGAAATTAAATGGTTATTCACCTTCTAAAAGTAATTTTATTATATCACAAAATGAATTTAAAGAAAAAAATATACAGAAATTGAAAACTATATCTAAAAATGAAGATATTTTAATGAATTTAAATGATAAATGTGATATAATAGATAAAACAAAGAGATCTTTAAGAGAGCATTCATTTGAAAATCAATCTCATTCACCAAATGTTGTGGATTCTATTATTCCTAAAAATAATAAAAAAACAGAATTAGAACAATCTACAAATATACAAGAATCAAAATTAGATGCTATTGATTTATCAACTAAATTCTTTGCAAAAGAATCTCGTAGAGGTAGAAGAAATACAAAAATTATAAATGATCCTCTTGGTTTGTTATCTGTTGATTTATTATCAAATCAAAATCTTGAATTGGTAATTATATTTCATTTATAATATAAATAATTAAATATAGTATCAGGAAATTAAAACTTAAATATTTTATATTTGTAAAAGTTAATATAAAATATAATTTAGATAATAAGTAAATATTAAAAATAAAAATTAAAATAATGAAATAAAATTATTAATTTATTTATAATAATATTTATTATGTTTATAATTTACATAAGTAAGATTATGTTTATAATTACATATTTATTATGTTTATAATTACATAAGTAACAATAATTAGAAAAAAGGGAATATTTCCAATTTTAAATATATTTTTTTAATTTTTAAGATGACAAATGAGAATGTTTCAACTAAAAATTCTGTTATACAAAATATGAAAACAGAAAAGGATTTACCAGAATGGTTGGGTGGTCCAAAAAAATTAGCAACAAATGAAAAAATAACTAAAATTGATAAAACAGTTACTTCTAAACAAAATATTGAAATTCAAAATACAAACAGTACAGTAAGTTCAAAAAAATCTGGTACAAATGATTTAGAAGGTACATCTATTTTCCCACTCTTATTTGGCACACAATTACATCAAGAAAATGCATTTGTAAATATGCAACAACAAGAACATGAATTAAGAACAGCAACAATATTTTCTCTACAAAATGAACAATTAAATAAAATAACAAATGCACAACATTCTGCATTACATAATCAAGAGAAACAATTTAATGCACTTTTAAAATTACAGTTTGAAAGACAAACTTTATTGGAAAAACAAATAAAAATTCAACAAGAACGAATTAATCAATATATTAATGTAAAATTTTTCAGATATAATATTTACACATTATATTTATACAGAAGTATGTAATAAAAAAATAAATAAAATTTTGTTTATTTTTTAAGGTTTTAATGACACAGTCTGTATCAATACCAAATACTACAATTTATAAATTGGATTTAGATGAAGAAGAAAAGAAATTTATAAATGAAATTAAAGAAATGAAAGATAGAATAAAAAAATTAGAAGAAGAAAAATCAAAATTGGAAAATAAATTATCCTATATAAATGAAAAATATGATAATGAATTATCATTTCAAGCAGAATTTTATGAGTATGTTTTTTACATATTATTATAATATTTTTATTAAACCATTTTTAAATATAAATAATATAATAATATAATAATGTAATAATAAAAATAATTTAATTTTTAGAAGACAAATTTCATTTTTAAGAGAAGTAATAACAAAATCAGAAGGAAGAATTAAAAGAGAAATAGAATATTTAGAAACAGATTACATAACAAAATTCGAAAAATTAAAAAATGAAAAATTACAAATAGAAAACGAATATAAAGAAAAAATTCACAATTTAAAGGTTAAATATTTTGCGTTATGTACATATATTTTGTAATAATATATATGTAAATTATTATTATAATATATTTATTTTTATTTGTAATATAAAATTATTTGTAAGATAAAAATGTAGATATATAAAAAATATACATAATAATAATTTTATTTTAATTTTTTGAATATTAGTTTTATTATTAGTTATTAGTTTTATTATTTTAAATAATAAATTTTTTATTTTATGATTTTATTAATAATGTTTTTTAGTAATATTTTAAAATGCTTTGCTATTTATTCTATAAAATTTAATCTATAATTAATAATTATAAATACATTTATATTTTTAACATATAAATCTTTTAAATAAAAAAGATTTTATAATTGCAATATATTTCAATTAGAATGAACATGCTCAAAATATAGAAGATCTTTGTAAATTACATTCTGAAAACATAAAACTTTTACAAAAACAATATAATAATGTAATAGAAAACATATCTAAAGCTAAGCAAATAGAAGATCAAATGATACAAATTATGACAACTCGAACAACTGATATAGAAAATATATTACAAAAGGCTAATGTTATTATTGAAGATATAATAGAGAATAAAAAAAAATTGGAAATTAAACATAAAGAAATAATGGAATCTCATGAAAATACTTTGAAATTACAGGAAGATGATATAAAAGGTATATTTAAGTAATAATATATTCCACAAATATATTTAATGTATTTTATTTTTTATATTTTTCTTAAATATAATAATTACTATTCATATATTAAATATATTATATGAATTCACATTTATATATGTATATTATATATATAAAATTATATAATTTATTATATAATATTATTATATGGATTAATAATGGATAAAAAATATTACAATTATGCAAAAAGAAAATAAATAATTTTTTAATTATTTTATAAATATCTATATTTTATACACTCTATAAATTATAAATTAAAAAATTATTTTTATTGAATAATATTTATAGCTCAGAGACTTGAATTAAAGCATCAAAATAATGTCCTAGAAGAACATCGTAATAAATTTATAGAAACAACGGAGAAACTTGACATTCGTCTTACAAGTATTATAACTGAACTTCAAAAGCAAAGTACATTATGCAATCAGGCAGAAGAAACACTTGAGAAAAAAGCAACAAATCTCTTAAGAGAAAGAGAATTATTTGAAGAAAAAATGAAATGGGAACGTGATTATATGGAGGTATTAAATATTAATTAAATTATATTTTTGAATTAGAATTAAAATTGTTGTTATATAATTTGAAATTATATATATATAGAAATACTAAATAATAAATATTTATATTTATATTTAATTAGACATTGAAGGAATCTTGGATGAAAGAACAAGAGAGACAATTAAAATTACTTGCAGAAGAAAAAGAAATAATAACAATTGAAAAAGCAGAATTACAAATTTCAAGTAAATTACAAAACAATAATGAAATTGATAAAATAGAGGTATAAACAATTATATATACAGAATTATATACAAATATTATAAAAAGAAATGATACATAATTATTTAGAAAATATAAAAACTTATATTTTAATCATTATATAGTTGGAGACTGCTGTTAAAACTGCACAAGAAGCAACTATATCTGCTAATCGAAATAAATTAAAATGGCAAGAAAAAATTAATGAACTTGATATTCATAAGCAAATTCTACAAGATAAGGAGAATTTACTTATTTTACGTGCTAAAGAACTTGAATATCTTACACAAGTAATATTTTAAAATAATTATTATATTATTAATTCTTTCAATTTCTAAATCAATTATTATTTAAATATTTTATAGTCTGCATTAATTAAAAAAGAAGAAGGAATGAAAGCTTTAAAAAATGCAAAACACTTAGAAAATCAAAATAAACAAAAATTTAATCAATTACAATTACAAATTCAAGCATTAATGGAAAAAGAAAAAAAAATTGCAACTGAAAAATACAATGTTACAAAGTAAATATTATAATATAATTATTATTTATACACACACACACACGCGCACACATATTAATAATAATAAGTTTTTTCAAAAATATACAATACTTTGTTTTTCTTTAAATTTTTTATTATTATTATACATATCTATTTTAAAGGGATAGAATTAAAAAAGTTTCTTCAATTTATGAAACTGAAAAACCAGAAAGAGATCTAAATGTTTCACATAATTTTCAAAATGATATATCATTTTCTGAAATACAATCAAAATCTGAAATCACTACAGAATTAATGGTAAGAAAATAATTTATTTACAAAAATACTTTTACATATATAATATTATTTATTTAAAAAACTTTTTTGTTGCAGAATATTATAGATCCAAACTTAATTATGTTAAAATTAAATCTCAATGATGAGTTTAATACTATTGATAAATATATAAACTTCTAAATAGACATTTAAAAGGTATTTTAAATAATGAAAATAATTTTGAAAATAATTCACAAAAGATTTTAATGTTTGCTGAAAATATTTCTTAAATCTAGCATTAATATTTAAAAATAAAATTAAATAAAAAGGATTACCTTATCAATAAATAATAATAAAATGTAATTTTCTTATTCAAAATATAATAATGTTTGTTTAGATTTTAATATCTTCATCTATAAATAAATAATACTATTGCAGTTAAATTATTCTTAAATTTAAAATTCTTTCTCATAATGTATTTTATATAACTTAATAATAATTTAAATATTTGTAACAAAATAATTATTAAATAACATTTTACATATTGAACAAACTTACCATCATTAACCAAACAATATTCTTGCAATATTTCTGTATTTTTTTGTAATGTTTTTATATCTGAAATTAAGGACTTTACTTTACAAAGTTCACTTCCTATGCTTTTTGTACAAAATGTCTGAAAAAATACATATGTATAAAATAAAATAAATTTAAATAATAGCAATTTTTATTTTGTTTTAATAATATGAACTTACAATATCATGAAGCATATTCATAGAATTAATATTATTTTTTTTATCAATATTGTCAAAATTTTTAAATATATCTTGTAATTTATTTATAAAATCAATTCCTTCAGATAAAAACATTATTGCTTGCCTAAAGAATATTTTAATAAATAACTTTAAAAATATTTTTTATTAGTATTAATTATTATTATTAATAATATAATAAATTATTAATAATAATATTACTAATAATATTAAAAAGTATTTTTAAAGTATTTATTATCATAATACCGATGATAATCATGAGAAACTGGTAATCCTGATATATTCTCTGTATTATAAATTAATTTATATATTGAATGTTTATGCATTGTTAAACTTTGAAGATTTTTAACAATACTTTCTTTATAATTGTTCCGTTCATCTGTATAATAAATAATATATAATAAATATATAATAAATAATAAATATATAATTGAATTTTAATTTTATAAAATTAATAATAATTTTTTTTGATTTAAAAATAAAAACCTTTTATAGTTTGTAATGTATTTATCAAATTACTATATTCAGTAATTTGCTTTTTTTCTTCAATTGCGAATTGTTCTTCACGAATAGTTCTTCTTTTGTGTAAAAGATTGATAACTTTTTCAATACTATCCATTTTAAATTATTTTAAAAGATAAATAAACAAAAGTACAATACGTAACTTTAAAAAATATTTCTTTGCTTATTACCAACTTGATAAATGAATCATCATATGTTAAATGTAATCAATGATCAGATTTGGTCTGATCTAAACTCTTAAAGTAGGCTAATTTATATACAGTACTATATACTTGAAGTAGATTGTAGTAGTATTTATTGTAAAAAAAAATGGCAGATATTTCATTTTCTAGTCGTGCATATTGTAAGATTATTTTACACGCAGCTAAGTATCCACACTGTGCAATAAATGGTTTATTGTTAGCCAAACAAAGTAATAAAAATGATGGTAAATTCATTGAATTACATATTGAAGATGTAATTCCACTTTTTCATATTTGTCTTCATGTTTCGCCTATGGCAGAAATTGCTTTAACCATGGTAAATATTTGATGTGTAATGAATTCAGAAACTTAATAAATTTTGTAAAATTTTATTAATGTCATTTTTTATGATAATAAGTCGTATAAAATACAGATATAATTTATAAATTATATTTTACATGTTAAATAATATCATTTTATTATAAGAAATACTTAAAATTTTCTGTTTTTATTTGTAATTTTTAACCTATAAAATATATTAAATATATAAATTTATAAAAACATTTTTATTTATAACAATTTGTAACATCATTTTCTTACGTAATTGTAAGAAATTATTGAATTATTGGAAATTTCAATTATGAAATTATATATAATTATTTGAATTTTGTAATATAAACATATTTAAAAATATTTTCAGGTTGATCAATATGCTAATAGTAAAGGTTTAGTACTAGCAGGTTATTATCTAGCAAATGAAAACATAAATGATTTAAGGTATTTTATTCTTTATTTAGAATTTTTGACAATTTTTTTGTTATTGATCTTAATTATAAAAATTTAAAAATATAGTACAGATAAACCTGCTCATAAAATAGCGGATAAAATAGCAGAGAATTATGGTAATACTTTACTTGTTGTGGTAAGTGTTTTAACAAATTAAATCAAAATACTAAATCAAAATTTTTGTATTATTTTTTTTTCACATTACTAGGTGGATAATAAAGAAATTACACTTGCTATGAATTCAAATCCTTTAAGAGTATCACAATTTATAGATGGCAAATGGAAACTTAAAGATATAACAGAGTAATTAATTTAATATATCACAATTTTTTTTTAATGCTTATTGCTCATTTTTTGTGCTTATTGTTCATATTGATAAATTGTATTGATTTTTACAGTATATTATATGACAAAGGAGTGATACATACAGATGTATTATATTCCTTACTTAAAGCAGAAGAATATAGAAATCTTATAGATTTTGATAATCATCTTGATGATATTTCTCTTAATTGGCAAAATCAAAAACTTAATAAAATCATAGAAGAAGTTATGGAAAAATATAAATAAAAATATGGAATTTATAAAAATAATTTATGAATATTTTCAAATGCATTTAGGAATATTTAATGTAAATAAATTAATAAATAAGAATATGCATTTTAATTTATTAATATAAAATGATTTAAAATAGTAAATTGAAATGAAGAATTATATTCAATATAATTATCAATGTTATTACAAAAATGATACTATCCAACTGCTCTTTTAGATTCAAAATTATACAATAATTCTTTAACTTTTTATAAGTATTTGTTAAAATAATAAATAAATAAAAACAATTTAAAAGTAAATATTTTTCATTGTTATATTTTATGAAAAGATTTTAATTTTGAAACTTGTTAAAATTATATTTTTTAATCTTCCATACCTAAAAAAATTAATTAAATATAATTATTATATACATAATTGTATTATAAAAAAAAAAAATAATTAATTTCTTTATTGTTCATTTTTTTTTTTTTGAATCATTACTAACTATTATAATTATGTAATATATTACAAAATATTATAGTAATATGATTTTATGAAGAAATTTACCTGAAAATATATTTTCAAAATGTTTATAACTAGAATTAAAATATATATTTGGATGCTTAAAGGTATTATCTATAATACAATTGTGTGTAATTTCATAATAAATTTTGCATGCTTCAAGATAAGATTTTTTTTTTACATGTTGAATTATTGATTCTATATCTGAAATAAATTTAATTTTTTTAAAAATAATATAATAATTAAAAATAAATAAAATTAATATACTAATAAATTATTATAAATTTCTATAATTGAAAGAATTGATTTCATTTTTTTGATTGTGCATATATTAAAATTCTATTTATTAGATATTTATTAGATAATTATAGCTATAAATTATGAAATTAATAAATAAAGTATTGCATACAAATTTATATAAATAATATTAGAATTAATTACATTTAATAATAATTTGATAAGTCCATACATGATATATTAATTCAATATGAAAGAATTAAATATATTATTATATTTATAATAATTTATATTTAATAAATATATTATTATTAAATATTTAATTCTAAATTTTTTAATTATTTTTTCATATATTCCATTTTATTTTTTAATATAATTTAATATGTATAATATTATTATAAGTAAATATTATTATTTACCTAAATGAATTAATCCATAATTTGAGAGTGTCTGTTTCAGTAGATCAAATGTCATACATTTAAATGGACAACCATGATTATCTCGTAAACCAACATTAGAATTAAATATCTTAAAACAATGAAATGGTTCATAATCTGCACGTTTTCCTTCCTGTCCATATAGAAATCGTATGCCATATTTATATTGTTTTTCAAAAGTTTTTTCATCCATTTTTTTTGTAAATTCATCTTTCCAAAATTGTATTGCATCATGTAATTTAAGACCTATTCCTTTAAGAAACAAGCCATATTGAACTCTACCACCATTTGTGAGATGATGATTTTTTTGTAATGCTTCATGAAGCAATCTCATGCACAATGGAAATGATTTTTGTGATAGCTTAAAAAAAATATTAAAATAAAATTGATATGATAAAATGATTAATTAGTAAAATTTTTTTATTTTTTATTAATTTTATTTTAATATTTAAGTTGTTAATATTTTAAAATAGAATAATTGTTATATATTTTATATTATTTTATATTATAATACTTAAGTTGTTAATATTTTAAAATAGAATAATTGTAAATATTTTAAAAATAATTATAACTAAAATATACCTCATCTAATTCATCAATAGATATATATTTATATCTATTATGTTCAAGATATGGTTTATTAATATAATTTTGAAGTATATTAAATATTTTTGTTATTCTTTCATCACCATAAATATTTGATATTGTTGTTCTTGAGTACTAAAAAAAAAAATATACAATATTTCAAAAAATAATATATATTTTTTAAATATATTTAAATATAAATTATATACTTACAGCAAAACCTTCATTTAATTTTTTTTTAAATTCAGAAAAAATTATCCAATAAACTTTTGTTTCAGGTACATAAGCAATTCCATTTTTCAAAAATACTTGTCGTTTTGCAATCAGATTTATTACATTAGTAAAATATACTTTATAAAAATTTATAATATTAATATTTTCATTGACAAAACAAAACATTTCTAAGTCTTTTTTAATTTTTTGTTTTTCCTCTTCAGAAACCTAAATGAATATATTAGCAATTGTAAATAAAAAATATTCTATTAATTATAATAAAAATTATATAATAGAATATTATATAATTAATTTATAGATAATTTACATATAATTATTATATTTTATACTAACAGAAGGAAATTGAATTCCATTAATATAATTAAAAAGTTTTATGTCTTTTTTATTCAAAAAAGAAAGTCTCCATTTAAATAATTTTACTTCTTGTTTAAAGAACCATTGTCTTTTCTTATGTTCTAAAGAAAATGCTGATCTCAAAATAAAGTGTGATATAGAATCATTTTTTCTTAGAAACTGCTTTTTACTTTGTGAAATTTCATAGTTAGACATATTTATAAGTTTTGCAAACTTAATTAAATCATTTTTTTCCAATTCTTTAATTAAAGCAATACGACACTGCCTCGCTTTATAATATTGTTTTGATACTTTGTTTACTAATTCTAAAACTAGAAAACAAAATTTGATTTTATTTCTAAATATAAATATTAATTATTTATTAAAAAGAATTACAATAACTACCCTTTAATCTATCAATACACCATTGATATAATTCTTCTAATTTAATATATCCAGATGGAGGTATAATATACATTTGCAAATCATGCAAGTATATGTAATTAGGAATTTGTTTAATTTTCATACTAGGTTGAAATGTAATTGGTATGCATGCCATACCTATGAAAAATTGTAATGATAAAATAATAATTATATATCATAAAATAATATAATAACCAAATTTATATCATTTAATTTTTTATATAAAACAGCATTTATTCCATTATTCCATGTGAAATTAATAATGTGAAAAAAAGATTATTTTGTATTTATAAAAGTATCCATATTTTATTCATATTATATATATATATTTTATCATTTTATTTCATCAATTTATTTATGATATTCAATGTCAAAATTCATTATTAAAATATTATTGAAATAAATGATTATACAATTATTACAATATAAAAGAATTAATTAATTTTCAACACAAATATTTAAAAAACGTCTTTATAAAAATTATTGCTACTGTTTTTAAGATATAAATAGTTAAAAATAGTTAAGATATTTGTTTTGTACAATTAAATTATTATATATTACTAATAATTACTTAATTAACTTTTGATCTATTTATAATTTTATTGTATAATATTTATTACAAAAAAATATCATTGAAAATTTAATAAAATAATTTTTATTGCACGACGATAACATAACCATACATAACAATGTGATTAGTATAATTTTAATATACGAGGTTAAATTATATGTCAAACATTTTTTGTCTTATTATGACTTCTTTGTTACAACAATATAAATTTGAATGTCGGTAAGTTATTTAAAATAAGCATAAATATAATAAAATATATATATATATATATATTTTATAAGTATATTTGCATTATAATTATGGAAATATATAAATTTTTTTATGAAATTCTAATAAAAATTAACCTTCGATATAATTATAAAATATAATTAACAACGATTGAAATATTTAATTATTAAAAATAAAATTATGATATATTTATAGTATTTGAAATATTTTGAAATTACATAAGAATAATTAAGAATTAATATTATTCAAAATATAAATTGATACTTATATTTTTATTGATACTTATACTTTAATATATATATATATATATATTATTTTATGTAATAAAATTTAAAAAAAATTTAGTTTATATGTTTGTTATGTTTAGAGTTAGTTCGGTTTTAAATAAAAATAATCAATCTTATGGGAAAAATTATATGTTTGATAATTGTCCTGAAACATGTTGGAATTCCAATTCGGTAAGGAAATTTTTGTTTTATTTTTCACATATAATATTAAAAGAAATATTTATTATTATTATATACATATATTATAGGGAATTCCACAATGGATAATTATTCATTTTGAACAAGAATGTGAAGTAAATTCATTTGAAATTGAATTTCAAGGTGGATTTGTTGGCAAAGATTGTCATTTAGAAGTTGGTGACAAAGAAACTAAATTTTATGAATCATTTTATCCAGAAGATAAAAATACAATACAAATGTTTAATTTGAAAAATTCAATCAAAGCAAAAACATTTAAATTTGTATTTAATGAAAGTACAGATTTTTTTGGCAGAATAATCATATACAAATTATCTTTATATTCATAACATATTATGATAATATTTATAATATGTAGATTTTATTATATTTTAAATAAAATATAATTAAATATTATAAGGAAATAATAATAATAATAATAATAAAAGTAGAAGAAATAAAAAAAATAAAAAATAAGCAAATATGAAATAAAAAAAAATTCAATTTATTTCATTTATTTTTTTAAAGTTATATATATATAATTTATATTTTATATTTAAAAACAATTTATACATTTAATTAATAAATATTAAAAAAGTTAAATTGTATAATTTTTAAATTATAATAGATTTAAAATATTAACTTTAAAGTTCAATGCTATTACAATGTTTTTATCTTCAAATTTTAAAAATGTTATTAACTATAAAAAATTAATATATTATAAAAAAAAAATTTTTAGCTATTTTATAGAAAAAAATATGTACACAATCTTAAAATAATACAAAAACTAGAAGATTTTTATTTTGAAGTATATAAAAAATATAATTTATATATTTCAATACCATTATGTTAAATATATAAACATGTAGTAATGATAAATGAATTAAATAATATATAAAATGATTATATAAATTATGATAAATGACATATTAAAACATTATTTTCAATCAAACAATTATTAATAAAAAGATATAAAATATAATAATATTATATTATTACATAATAAAAAAAAATTTTTGTAAATATTTTAGAAATTTATATATAGTAATGTATGTATTAATATGTATATAAATTGTATATATATATATATATATTGTATATATTAATATATATAATGTATACATATTAAAAAAAATTAAATTAATGTCCATTCAATTTAAGTTCTTAAAATTTCTCTTTATCTAATATTCCACTTATAATACAATATGTATTATATATGTATTATCGCAAGTAACGAAAAATCTTGTGGGATGAATAGGATTAAGAAGAACACTTTTTTTTTTTATTCAACAATACATAATGCTATATGATTTTATTTATTGATATTTATAAATAATACTTTTGGTTAATATATATCTATTTTTAATACGTATTAAAATCCATTAAAATCAACTAATCATATTATTGCATTTTTTTTAGAAGACTTTTTGTTAATCATTTTGTTTGTTCTTTGTTTTAATGATAAAATAGTAAAAAAATGAAGTTATATTAGATCTGCAATTTCTTTTTAAATTTGTATTGCTTATATGAAATAAAACAAATTCAAATAAAAGGCAGAATAAAGATTTTTATTTAATATATCAGTTAGCAGAAATAGCCGATCCGAGTTGTCTCATTAATTTATAACATTCTTGAAGTCTTTTTCTATCACCTACTCTTTCCAAAGTTTTTGCAGCTTCTGCAAGCATACCTGCACGTTCTCCAGGAGTAGCTAGTAATAATGAAGGTAAATGTCGACATGCTAAACATAAAGCTACTGCGTGTTCTTTTTCTCCAGTATATTGATCTTGTGAACGATCTTTACCACAAATAATTGAAGAACGTGAATTTCTATGATGTAAGCTGCGATCTAATAATATTTGAGTTTTTACTGGTGTTGCTCCTGCCATTATACGTACTGTGGCTTCATAAAGAAATACTCTTGCCAAGGTAGACTAAAAAATAAACAACAATGATTAAAGATGATGAATATTTTTAATTAAAAAAAAAAAAACTTACTGGAATATGTTGACATAATTGTCTTAAACAAGCTAAATCACGTTGAAAACCTCTAAGAGATATATTTGTGGTTAATTTTTCTAAATCACTATCTAATTCTTGCCAAAGTGTAGTTCTCATTTCAAGTAACCAGTCACAAATCCACAATTGAGTAAGCTAAAAAAATCAAAACCAATAAAAAAATCATTAAAAAAAATATAAATATATATAAGTTTTATTTACTATCATATATTTATTACTATATGGCGTTGAAATCTGCCACAAGAGTTGCACTGTAGAAGTATTGCATAGTTATATTTCATGCAATGCAACTACAATGCACAGTTGTAACAGATAAGCAATCAAATAAATATTTTAATAATGATACTAGATAATTTTATAATGTACTTCATATCAATTGTTGATCTATATGATTTACTTGTTTATTAAAAATATTTTTTATTTTGTATAAAAATGAAATATTTATTTAAAAAATATATATATTATTTAAAAACTTTATAAAAACGTTTTTAATTATAAACATGTTTTTAATTATAAAAACTAACTTAAAGAATAAAATTATAAATTTAAAATTAAATACTTTTATTTTTATATTCAAATTGTGTTAATTCATAATTTTTAATTTTTTAATTATTATATTTAGTTGTATTTAATAAGAGTTGAATATTAATATTGATATTAAATATTGATATTATATCTAATGGATATAATATCTAAATATCTTACCAAAACATTTTGTGAAGACTGTTGTTTGCAATTGTAATAAACCAAGCATTGTTCAAGTAATATTCCTGCTTGATCAATAAAATGCATGGAAGTTGGTTTAATAGTAGCTTTTGCAGCTTGCAAAGTATTGAAAACAATATATGGTAGTGGACTAACACTATTATTATTATTGCAAAGTTGATAATTTTTTTCATAAGGAAATTTGCTTTCAACAATGCTCCATGCTTGAGAATCATCTTCTTTTAATCTCCAACATGCTGCTACATACATAACTGCTCCCCACCATAATCCAATTTCATCTTCACAATCTAAAATATTAATTGACGAAATTGTTCATTCATCAAAATAAAGAAATAAATTTAATTGTATATATTCAGTATGAAAAAATTAAAAAAAATTTTATTTAATTTTAATAATTCTTACGTGTAATTGTAACTTTGTCAGTACACAAAAATCCAGTATATACTCCAGCAGAAGCCATAATAGTTTGTCCATATTCTAATATTGAAGATAAATGAGTATCTCCAACAGTGCCAGTTAAAATACGTAAACATTGTCCAATTAAATAATCTCTATATGCACGTGAAGCATATGATAGAGGATCAGCTTTACTAGTTTGAGACGTGAATTCATTATCTGATTGTTCTCCATATTGCCATTTTTGAAATGCTAAAAATTTTGCACCTTCATCACTCATTATCCATTTTAATTTTGATGGAACTGTACATGATGACAATAATGTACGCGCTTTGCCTAAATAATATTTATGAATAAATGGAAAAAGTGATTGTTTGAAACATAATGCAACATTAGTATATATTTCTGCCAATAATGATTTTGGAATAGTTTCACCAATTGTTTCTGCATAATTCACTGCAGAAAGAGCGAGATACAAAGTTCCATTTTTTGATCCTTCTGATAAATGTAAACATAGCATATGCTGATAAATAATAGCTATTTCCATAGCTGATATTTCTGCCTGTTGTCGTATGGTTTTTTCTGAAAACCATTTATGAACATGTAAAATCCATTTCCCAATCCATAATTTATGAAGAAGTTGCCTTATGATTTGCCACATAGTTGCAAGCCAAGTTTCTGTACGAGATGATGGATATGGACGACCTAAGTATTGCAAACATTGATGTAAATCTCGATATGCTTGACTATATTCACTTTTTGATATATTAAATTCTGCTTGGCGTCTCCATCTATGAAGTTCAAGAAATATTTTACTATCAGAAGGTAATATTGGATCACCATATAATAATAATCTACAAAGTCCGCCAATTAAAAGTATAGTATTCGTTAACCATAATAATAAATTACTCCATACTGGATTTTCAAAATCTGATTGATCTAAAAAAGATTAATGTTGTTATTATTCATTATATGTAACAATTAGTAGATTATAATAATATAATAATATATAATAATAAATTATTATTATTATTACAGTATTTATACCTTGATAATTAAGAATGGTACGACCATCCAATTTTGTATTTATATAATCAGAATTAAATCTTCCAATATTATTTATTACAAAACCTAAAGGATTGAATGCTAAAAAGAGAAGCATAAATCCACAGAGTGTAAGTCTGGTATGATCTCTCATGCTTTGATTGGTAAGAACAGATGTTGCATCAACATTTTGTAAAACATCTGGATCATCTTTTATAGAAGATGGAGATGGGGGAGATAATGGTGCTGGTGCTGGAGATAAAGATGGTTCACTTGAATCTGATCTAGGTGGTGTAAGTTCACCACAAACTAATAAATCACGTAAATTTTGTCTTTGAGCTAATTTTAATGACATATTTTCTTGTTTTAATCTTGCATTAGAATTTTGCAGAAATCTAAAATTTTATTAAATTTTTAGAAATCTAAAATTGTTTAATAAATATTTTTTTAATATATAATATATGTGTAAAAAAAATTAAATATATATAATATATTTAATATACCTGATATAATCAATAGTTTTTCTTAAAATTGCTGATTTATTTAATTTAGCATCTACTCCAACAATGATATTTTTCAATTCAATAATTTTATCATTAATTGATGTTCTATAACGTCGTTCTATAGCATTATGTGCACTACGTTTTACTTCTTTTACTCTTGGTACACCTATATGTGTATTTGTGCTCAAACGATTAATTTGTACTTTATCAGTATCTAATACAACTGGAATACCTAAATAAAAATTGAAATATGAATATGAATAAAAATAAAAAATTTGATAGCATCAATAAATTGCCATAATTTTTACCAGCAGTTAAAACTGTTCCATTAGCAGTATTTACTAATGTATGTATTTGATGGGGTACAGAAGTTGAACTAACAGCTTGTGACCCTCTAGAATAAACAACTGATTCTGATTTTATAAGCTTAGCTGGTAAAAGTAATTGTCTTTGTTGGGTCATTGGTGCAATTGTTACAACAGGTGATTGGACACTAAAATTCATATTTTGTGGAATAGCATATTGTGAACTAAATACTGTGGGTGCTGCTGTGACAGATATTCTCTGTGCTCTATTCTGTACAGGTATTATATCTTGCAATTGTGGTTGTTGTTGCTTTTGTTGTTGAGGTTGTTGAGAAACACAAGAAATTTGTTGTGTAT